TATAAAACGAGCAGTCAGCCTGCCATCCCATATTTTATAGCATCTAACAAATATTACTCATAAGCAACCATGTATTGATGTAGTTCTCTGCCCTATGAAACCATCTTTTATTATTGTTAAGGAGAATTTGTGAAATTATAGAGGACAGAGGACTTCCTGGTTTTAACTTTTTTTTTAAGACATTGGGTCTCACTATATTACCCAGTCTGGTCTTGAACTCCTGGCCTCAAGCTACCCTCCTGACTCAGCCTCCCAAAGTGCTAGGATTACAGGCGTGAGCCACCATACCCAGCTGACTTACTGATTTTAAATGGCCCAGTAAATGTATCCTGAACTATTTTTAGGTGAAGTGATATGATGGTTGCAATTTTCTTTAAAGTACTCGAGATGACGGGGGACCAGATGGATAAAGATGAACCGAGTTTGACAAAATTTTGATAAATATAGAAACAGTTGATGGGTTCATGGCATTTTTTTCACACTGTGCTCTCTACCTCTGTGTATGTTTGAAGATCTCAGTGTTAAAAGTTACTACATAAATAATGGCCCAGTAAAAGCAGCGGTTTCTCCCTTATCTTCTCACACCTTAGAATAGGTAGGAGAATAAGAAACAGAAATATAAACTCTGTCTTCAGAACAACCAGGAGATCTCTGCGGTTCTAGAGCACATTATATAAAGAAAGGCTGCCAGATCCAGTGAAGGTCAAATAGGTGTGTGGAAAGACCATGAGAGATATACCTCTGGATGTAGATCCGCAGCAAGCCCCATTCTTCAAAGGAAGTTGCTGACCTCAGACTACTCCAAAGCAGCATTCAAAGCTGATACTTTAAACTACCAAGTCCTCAAAGAAAGATTAATTTAGGAATTAACATGCCAAGCGTCAGGAAATTTAGGTCTCATGAGACTTACTTCTGCAGGAAGAAGTTCAGTCAACCAAGAAATGAAAGGAGAAACTACAGCTAAAATATTGGCAGTGAGCATAGTCCATAGATCTATAGAAATAAGACTAAAACAAATGTGGAAATTAGGTTTACAGACCACAAAATGAATCTTTAAAACTTTGACAATGTGGTAATTGTACTAACTAATGAAAGTTGGAAATATGAGGAACAGAAATGATGTGAAGTCATGTTTTATAACAAGCTGTCAAAAGATGTCATTTAAGGCTAGGCGCAGTGGCTCCTGCCTGTAATCCTAGCGCTCTGGGAAGCCAAGGTGAGAGGATTGCTTGAGGTCAGGAGTTCGAGATAAGCCTAAGAAAGAGCATGACTCTGTTTCTACAAAAAAAAAAATAGAAAAATTAGCCAGGTGTGGTGTTTTGCACCTGTAGTCGCAGCTACTCGGGAGGCCGAGGCAGAAGGAGTGCTTGAGCTCAGGAATTTGAGGTTGCAGTGAGCTCTGATGACACCACTGCACTCTAGCCAGGGTGACAGAGTGAGACTCTGTCTCAAAAAAAAAGGTAATGTAATTTAAAACCAATAAATCCAATAAAAGCTTAAATATTGAGTTGGAAGGGAATATGTAAGTAGGTAGATGGTTGATGCATAGACACATACATAGAGTAAAAGGTAAACGCTAACAGAAATAATAAACTAAACTGGATGGCAGAGGGGAAGAAAAAAGCATAACTATATTCATCATTGCTTGTAATAGAAGTAATTTTTAATATAAAGTATATTGTATATATATGTTTTAAAGAAACAGGGTCTTCTTTTTTACCTAGGCTAGAGTACAGCAATTATAGTTCACTGCAACCCTAAACTCCTGGGCCCAAGCCATCCTCCTGTCCAGCTTCCCAAGTAGCTAGGACTATAGGCATGTGCCACCATGCCTGGCTAATTTTTAAAATGTTTTTGTAGAGATGAGATCTTGCTATGTTGTCCAGACTGGTCTTGAACTCCTCCCACCTTGGCCTCCCAAAGTATTGGGATTACAGGTGTGAACCACTGTGCCTGGCCATAAAATGTATTTTATATAAAGTTATAAGAGATTTTTTTACTTAACATGTAATTGATGAGGATTTGTTATTTGCCAAGCACTATCAGTGACCAAAACAGACTAAAATTCTTTCTTACTAGGTTGGGGGAGACAAATTATAAACATAATAAATAAGTAAATAATTTGTTAAGAGGTGTTAATATATGTGGGTGAACTATAGCATAAAGAGGATCAGGAGTACCAGTTGATGGGATTGCTGTTTTAAATTGGGTGACCAGAGTAGACCTCAGAAAATGAAATTTGAGCAAAGATGTATTTGAGGGAAGTGAGGGAGCCATATAGTTATATAGAGTATTCCAAGCGGAAGTGGTGGTTATTGCAAATGTTCTGAAGCAAAAGTGTAGCTGTTCACGAAACAGGAAAGAGTGAGTCTAAAAGGGCTAAAGTACAGTGATTGAGAGGGAGAATGGTAGGAGTCTCTTTGAAGTCAGAGAGGTAATAGGGTAGTATCAGGCCTTACAGGCCATTAAAAGAACTTTGACTTTTACTCTGAAATAACTACTAGAACAAAAAAGTGAGCCATTTATATTATCAGAAGGAATATGTGCATACCTAAAACAAAGCTAGCACAAACCATTTAGTAAACTATTTTTAAGAAGCAAACAGCAATAAAAACAGAAAGCATGGCATAAACTTTGATAACTGAAAAGAGGTGGGGAACCTGCGGCCTTGGGGCCACATGTGTCCTTCTGGATCCTTGAATGTGGCCTTTTGACTGAATCCAAATTTTACAGAACAAATCCTTTTAATAAGGATTCTGTCGAGGGATCACACTTGAGGATCTGGAGGGCCACATGTGGCCTTGTGGCTGCAGGTTCCAGTCATGATCTTAATATTGGACAAGGCAGTACAAAAAACATTACATGAGGAAAAAGGACATACAAGCTCTGTATGAAAACTTTAAAATGCTTCTTGGGGATACAAATAGAGACTTAAATGGAAAAGCTTATAAGGTTCTTGGGTAAAAAGATTCAAAATTATTTAAGATGTTAGTTTCCCCTTTGTTAATCCATAGAGTTAATATGATCTCAAAACAAAACACTAGCCAACAGTTATTGAACATTTACACTACGCCAGGTACTGCGCTTAGTGCTTTGTATGTATTACTCATTTAGTCACTACAATGACTTTATGTGGGAAATATTAGCATATTACCCTTTGTCCATTCTTTTCAGTAAGGAAACCACGGCACAAAGAGGCTAATGAAATTGCCCAAGGTTGCAGTTAGAGTAAGTTACCGAACCACGATATAAACTCACAATCTGTGTTTTGTACTGTTTTTTGAAACTCATAGGATTGTGTGTGTGTTTAACTAGATAAACTGACTCCAGTGTTCATATGGTGAAACAAATAAGCAAGAATAGCTAGGAAAATTCTTACAGAATAGTATTATAATAATGGGGCTGGGCATGGTGGCTCATGCCTGTAATCACAGCACTATGGGAGACTGAAGCAGAAGGATCACTTGAGTCCAGGAGTTCCAGACCAGCCTGAGCAACATCAAGACCCTGTCTCTATGAAAAATACAAAAAGTAGCCAGGCATCGTGACACTGTCTCAGCTACTTGGGAGGCTGAGGATGGAGGGTCACTTGAGTCCAGGAGTTGGAGGCTACAGCAAGCTATTATCATGCCACTGCCCTCCAGCCTGGGCAACAGAGTGAGAGCCTATCTCTAAAATAATAATAAGGGAAAACTAGCCCCACCAGATATTAAAAGGTGTTATAAAACTAGAATGTTAAAACAATGTGGTTACTAAGGCATGAGCAGACAAATCATTTAACAGAAGTTCAGAATTAGATCCAAATTCATACAGGTACTTGGAAGATCATAAAGATAACAGTTCAAATAAGTGAGGAAAAGATGCATTATTCACTATATAGGACACCTAGGTTGTCATTAGAAGGATTCCTCCTTATTGTTGACTAAAATTAATTCCTAATGAATCAAAGATTTAAACCTGTAAAACTAAACTAGCTGTGACCTAGTCTCAAGTAATTTTTAAATGACTTATTTAGATTTTTTAATAAATATCAATCTTACATTTCTGCATGCTCTCATAGGTTGGAAGAAGGTGGGGATTAAAGATAGTCACGTGAAAGATGTTAGTCTATCATATATAGTATTGTTAAGATATATTGTCGTAGAGTCCTAAATAATTTTTCTTTGGACTGATGGAGTAGAATATATCAGGCTCTGTGGCTAATACATTGGATTTTAGTCAGTCAGTGTCTTCCTTTCTTCTTCCTTTAATATTTTTTGTGGCTGGGAAAGTGAATAGTACAAAGCATTTGGCAAGTTAGGAATGTATTCAGTATTCTTTCTGAAATTTGGCTTAATTATGGGAACCTAAATTCCAGACCCACATCCACAGTGACATTACTCTTTGAGGAAGTAGTAATTACTAAAGTGAGTGTGAGTGATTCCCTTCTAACACTCTGAAGGGATAGAGATTAAGGACTCAAGCAGTGAGGTTACTTATCCAAGTTTTTAAAAAAGAGGATGAACGAAAAGACCAGATGCCTACTCAATAGCATTAAATTCATGATACAGTTACTTAATAACTGTCTTATACCTGGTAAGAGATAGGAAGGAAATGCAGGTCTAAATGCTAGCAAGAGGAAGAAGCCATAAAGTTTACTAAAGTAAACTAAAGACTTGATAGCACTTAAAACCAATATTAAGTGTTTTTAAAAGCAGGTAAAAAATTATTTGTATGGTACAATTATTATTCTGTTTAAGGTAACATTTGTACTTATGTGTGTATGTAAATGTTTTAAAATATAATCTTGAAAATATAACAATGTTTACCATTATTAAGATGATAGGAGTTTGAGAGACTTTTATTTTCTTTTATCTGTATTTTTAAGATTTTCTACAAAGAATACATATTACTTAAGTAATAAAAACACTATTATTTATTAATATTATATACATATACAAATATGTATGTAACATTTGTTGTTCTGTCCTAATAGTAGATGTGTCTTTTGTATTTTCTAGGTGCACCAGAGGCTCTCTTCCTGGCAGAATTTGAGAGTTGTTTATTGCAGTACTGTTGTGCCCTCTGATGGTGAGTTTTGGTAAATTCATTTTTTATGTCTTTCCCTCCCCCCCCCACCCTTAATTCAGTGTTTCCCATCCTCTACCTAACATAAAAATTTGTAGGGGCCAGACCTGTAACCCTAGCACTTGGGGAGGCTGAGGCAGGAGGATCACGTAAGGCCAGGAGTTTGAGACCAGCCTGGGCAACACAGAAGACCCGTCTCTACAAAATATGTATATAAAAATTTATAAACCATACTCTTACTATTGTGGGCTTGAGGGTCAGAAAGAAAAAGGAGCCTAAAGATGAAAAATAAAATTTGGATGAGGATTCTAGTGAATTTAGAGGGAAAACCAAGAAAATACACTAATAGACCTATCAAAGTCTTCATAAGTGACAAAATGTTTACTACTAATGTTTTAAAACCGGGTATATAATTAATGTGAAGATCACATGAGCACCATCATTTCTTAATCATTGAGGCTTTCCATTGTGAATAATGATCAAGTTCTCCAGGCCCTTTGTGATGCTTAGACAGAAGTAATTCAAAGCCTGAGACCTCCTGCTCTGCTTGTCTTTTTCTTCCCTAAGGCTTAGGACTGTAATATTCTTCTTTCATGTGGGAAGGGATGAACAGATGCTTGGGGACCATATACAATCCTTCGTAAATGTCCATGATGCTACAAACTGGCAACAGGATCTAAGCTTTGATTGTTTTTACTGTCATGAAGGGAGATGTGTTTACAACTCTTATTGTCAGTCCTCTCAATATTGTACATTTATAATTTGGGTTGCTTGGCTTAGATGTTGCCTGTTAGAAATGTTTCCTCTGTGTAAAGTTTAGTTTGATAGAGCTCAAATTTCAGCCTTCTAAACATTAATTCATTGGCATAGCAACCACTGAAAGAGCATCCTGCAAATTTACAAGGACACTTAAAACTAAAGAAGCCCAGGCCGGGCGCTGTGGCTCACGCCTGTAATCCTAGCTCTTGGGAGGCCGAGGCGGGCGGATTGCTCAAGGTCAGGAGTTCAAAACCAGCCTGAGCAAGAGCGAGACCCCGTCTCTACTATAAATAGAAAGAAATTAATTGGCCAACTGATATATATATATAAAATTAGCCGGGCATAGTGGCGCATGCCTGTAGTCCCAGCTACTCGGGAGGCTGAGGCAGAAGGATCACTCGAGCCCAGGAGTTTGAGGTTGCTGTGAGCTAGGCTGACGCCACGGCACTCACTCTAGCCTGGACAACAAAGCGAGACTCTGTCTCAAAAAAAAAAAAAAAAAAAAAAAAAAAACTAAAGAAGCCCAGAAGATGAATTGTGTAAATACTAGAATAGAATCCCTTGTATTAATATTTCTTTTAAATTTTTTATTTCAGCATATTACAGGGGCACAAATGTTTAGGTTACATATATTGTCTTTGCTCCACCCATATTGTATTAATATTTACTTTAAAATTAATATTTACAGATATTTGCAGTGTTATCAGAATCCCCTCCCCAAAGCTGTTATCTGAATTTACAGACAGTATGCTCATATTTGCTAAATCCTCTAAACTTAGAGGAAAATCCATTGTGGTTACTCATTTGTGGTATGGAAGGGTTAAAAGGGAAAATAGGCCAGAATCAAAATAAGGAAAACACTAGTTGACTTTCTTTTTCCTGTCTCTTAAAGACATGAAAAGCTGATATAAAGTAGTACCAATTAATACATAAATTAAAAAGTGGCACTTAGCACTTTGTTGCAGCCAGAGGACAGATAGGTGTGTTGCCCCCAGTCAAGACTCAGTATGTACCCAGATACCAAGTACTTGCCATGTGGCCAAGAGCCAGAGGACCATAATGTCACCTGCCCATGCTGCCTACTCTTTTTCCTGCATAAGCGCCTTCAAAGCAGTGGGTGGGTATCTCACTTCCCCCTGGCACTGCCTTGATCCATTAATCAGCCAAATGGGGGCTGTTCATATCTATATATGCCAGCACCTCTCCCAAGTGCTGACTTATTCCATTACCACTGCAGGGAGCCCTCATTAGATAGTTTCAATAGAAAGAGAATTTCTCTCAATGTAAAAAAAAATTGTTCATGGTACTGAATCCTCTCTGCTTTTGCTGAACTAACAGTATTTCACTCAAAAATTTCTAGCCTTTATATTATCTGAAATTGTTATATATTTAATGTCAGTATAAATCAATATATATTCAGTACGTTATATATATTTAACATCAAGTCATATTACAACAGGAAGCTCACGTACCAGTGGTTGTTATGATATTCAATGGCAATTAATTTGAACTAATGAATTCATATTAGATTGATATTTTAATTTTTTTGTTTTTGTTTTTTTCATGGCCAAATATGAAGCATGTATGGAACTTATATTAGTTTTGCCACTTACTACAGTCACTGTTATCCTACATTCCAGTCCATATGGAGTATTTCGGTTATTCAACAATTGTACTGGGATATCTAGTTAAATGTTATCTCAGGACATAAATGCTAGTAGGTTGTCCTTATGTTGCATGAGGATCTGAAGGCAATATTTTTAAAAAAGCAAAAAAGGATACCAACTTTAAAAATAATGAGTGTCTCCCAAAATTCCTGCCAATACTTTTTGCCCTACTTGAGAAAACCAATTTATATTAGTTATCAAGAAATAGAAGCACAAAGTTATTTGATTTACTGCAGCTTAATGTCCTTACTGCCCCCAACTTATACATCTTTCTTATTTTATACTTCTGAGTTAATTTTACCTTTAGCATATGAGAAAACTTCACATAATACACAGCTACTCCAATAAGTAGGAGTTTGTCCCCAGTAACAGACATTTCTACTATCGTTCACTTCTCTTTCTTTTGATTGCTGGGTCATATTCAGTATCAAATAAGGGCTTGACCCTCACTCATCTTTTAAAAGTATTGAGTCTAAAATACATTATAAAGTTATAATATTTATATACCTAGCATATATACCTATATATACTATCTCTCAGTAATGGCTTGTTAATTATGTTGTTTGGCAAATTTTCTGGTTAAAATTGTAGTAACTGATAAGAAAATATGTAGATTATCTTAAATGTTTAACCTCCCTACCAAAGCAATCATAACAGGTTCTTAATTTTTCTTGAATCATAACTACTTTTGAGGACCTAGTAAAAGCTCTAGCTCTTTCTCCAGAAAAATTTATATATACACATAGGAAATTTTACATGTAATTTGGTAGTGGTACAGGTTCCCTCAAACCAAACTATGGAATCCTTAGATTCATGGACTCCAACTTGAGAGCTATTTTGGGTACACTGAACACAGTACCCATACTCACACCCATGTTCCCTTTCATGAGAGGCATTATGCTTAGAAGTTAAAAGTATAAGCTTTGTTCTTTTTCCTCCCTCCCTCCCTTCCTTCCTTTTTTTTTTTTTTTGGAAACAAGGTCTTACTCTGTCACCCTGGCTAGAGGGCACAACATCACATAGCTCACTGCACCCTCAAATTCCTGGGCTCATATGATCCTCATTCTCAGCCTACCGAGTATCTAGGACTACAGGCAGGTGCCACCATGCCCAGCTTACTTTTCTATTTTTTGTAGAGACAGGGTCTTGCTATTGTTCAGGCTGGTCTCAAACTCCTGGCTTCAAGCAATTCTCCCACCTCAGTCTCTCCAGAGTGTTAGAATTACAGGCATGAGCCACCACACCCAGCCAAGAGTACAAGCTTTGGAGTCAGACAAACCTAGGTTTGCATCCCAGTTCCACCACTTAGCTACCTTGTAACCATAGGCAAGTAATTAACTTCTCAAAACCTGTTCCTTCATCTGTGAAATGGAAATAGTAATAGTTACCATCTCCAAGAGAAAAATGTCCATAAACTATAGAAATAGTACTTACTTTATAAGGCTGGTTGTGGCAGTGTTAAAGATCCCTGATCTATTAATAAAACATGTGGTCTTAGGCTTCTCATTTTAATTTCTTTGTGCCCCAGATCCTCAACTGTAAAATAATTAATAGTAAAATTTTTATGATTGTATGGTTTATACCCTAAAGTCTTTAACCTTCAGGGGTTCCCCTTCATGTTAATGAAAGTTAAGGATGAGAGTAATTCTGCTATAGACAAGTTGACTGTGTAATTTATCATCCAACCCAGGACACTTTTGAGAGTGAAAGGAGTTGCTATTAAAAATTATCAGGGCAAGCCAGTTGTCCTGATAATTTTTAATAGAGTAAACCAGGAAGTACATTCACCCTAGCTACAGGGAAGTGCAAAAGATGAGCTAGAAAAAAAGCAAGGAAAATAGCCTCATCTAGCTTCATTTCTTCATCCAGAAATGGAATCCTACTCAATTAGCCCTATATTAAGAATTGTGCTAGAGAGTTGTTATGTTTATTTTGCACTTAACAAAAGATACAAGATTTCCTTACAAAAATCATTTGAGGCCAGGCGCAATGGCTCATGCCTGTCATCCCAGTACTCTGGGAGGCTGGAGCAGGAGGATTGCTTGAGGCCAGGAATTTGAGACCAGCCTGGGCAACATATCAAGATGCCATCTCTACAAAAAAAAATTTGTTTTAATTAGTTGGGCATGGTGGCACGAGGCTGAAGCAAGATTGCTTGAGCCAAGGAGTTCATGGCTGCATTGAGCTGATCACACCAGTGCACTCCAGTCGAGGGGACAGAGCCAGACTCTGTCTCTAAAAGAAAAAAAAATATTTGAGGGCAAATTAAGTTAGTGAGAATTCCTGTTTTTAAAATTTTTTTTAATTTAATTTTTCCCTCAAACATCTCTTGATTTCCTAGGAGACTGTCACCCAGGCTGTAATGCAGTGGCATGATCATAGCTCACTGTAACATTAAGCTCCTTAGCTCAAAAATTCCTGTTTAATAATAAACAATCATCTGTTTAGTCAACTCAAGTATAAATAATATATAATTCTTAATCTAAGATCTATGAATGATTTGGGGAACCAGATATATACCCCAGCTTTTTTCTTTGTTTTCTGTCCTATTATTATTGTTTTAAAGCTTTATTTAGA